AGTGTCCGTCCACTGAAGCATTGCCTGGACCGCAGGAAGGAAAACCAGAAGGCGCATAGGGACGTATCTGAAAGACACTCCCGCAAGTAGCCACATTGGCAACACAGCAGCTCCACTAGTGACAACTGGTGTCGGAGGCGGCGGGCCAAACGGACCTGAGTCGAGAAGGAGGCAGTCACCATCTCGGAGATGCACCGGCCGTTCGACATTGCGTCGGAGAGGATACGGTTCGCGCAGTCGGCCGAAACGCCCACCTAAGGTCAACGCCCGAGTAGGACCAACCGGGAGCGTAGCTGGAAGGCAAACCGGGTGAAGCCCTCGATGGGTGCGAAGCACAACGGAAGCCAGGGCCGAATCGGCTGCTGCGGGAATCAGATGAACCGCCTCTGTATCGGGCTGCGGTTGGACAGGAAGTATCTGCTGCCAGCCACGGCGGCCCGAGAAATCTTGGAGCAGAAACCTAAATTCCTGCCCTGATCCAACAAGGGGGGTAACCACGCTACATTGGTCAGAGACTGTAAAGGGATTATGGATAGTCAGCGGACACCCCGCCGGCAGAAAAGGTCGGTTTCGGTTGCTGCGGTCGTCGACCTCACACATGAAAGCAATGACCCGTCCTTGCAAAGTGGGAATGGACGCATGATCGAAGGTTGGCGCAACAGCAGGCCATTGGCCAACAACCGGTGTGCCAGTGCGCGCAGCGTCCTCATCACTCGGGCGGAGTAGATGGGTGTCCTCACCTCCTGTCCCCACAAGTTCGGCTGCCGGCGTAGGGGCCGTAACCTCTGCAAGGTCTGGTGAGCTAGGCTGGGAGGGTTCCGAGGGGACACTGTCCTCGCCGTCGCCACGAACAAGAGTGATGGCTGAGAGAACCCCTAGAACGAAACCGGACTGCCCTAGGAACCTCCCAAGAAGAAAGACGCCCCATTGCGCAACGGGATGCACAGTTCTAGCCTTCGACTTGTCCTTATTGGTTAACTCCTCAGGACCATGAAACCATGGTGCGGCACCCACCTCATCGGGCTCGCTCCCTGGGAGAACGCCCGCAACCTCAAGTCGTGAGGTAAGCATCGTGAGCTGATGACTGATCTCATTGACCTGCCGAACGACACTAGGGGGGGCGGAGTGGGGCTCCTTAGTGGGCCAGCGCGTAGGAGCCGTGCGGGACGGACCAGCAGCCTCAGCAGGTGTTGGAGGTGACTGACTCATACCGGAAGGCAGCACTTGGAGGCAGGTCTCGCCGGCTAGAGGAAGTTCCCCTCCTGCACCACGACACAGATCGTAGTCAAAATGAAAGGAAGCCGGAGCATCCGATGGTGCATCCCAAGAAGAGAAACCCGCAGCAGGAACCGGAAGATTACGCACCAAGGTAATAATGGTCCCGTGGCCTGGTGCTGGCAACTGAGACCCGAAGGGAATAACCCGGCCCCCATGCCAAATACCGAACTGTCCCTGCGAGAAGAACGGCAAGCCAAACTCCTCAGCAGCTGTTTGCCCAACATGCTGCCAATCGAAAACCGCTCTGGGTACGCTCATGACAGCAGCTCGACCTCGATAATGCAAAAGCCAAAATATCGAGGATGCGGTCGAGCCGGACGGCACATGCAAAAGGTGTGCCACCCCGTGGACAATCTGAGGGCTCGTCCAGACGAAATCACCTGTGGCAGTAACGCCCCTAGCAGTATTGGCCACATAAGTGGCCATAACACCCGGGTCGGGAGTAGAAACATACGGAACAACCGTGGGAGCTGCTAGGGTATAGGTCCAGATCCGACAGATGGTAGGCGCCGGATCGCGAGGAAGTCCCCACGCAGGGGGATGCCCCTGATGCTGGCCGGAAGACGTGCGCAAGATAAGATCCTGCTGCATTGCCCTTGCAGGATGGACGTGGAGCGATCCCAACAGAACCCCTAGCAGCAAGGAGCTACGCCTGGAGATAGCCCTAGAAAAGGAGCCAATCGCAATTTCAGTTAGAACCAATCCTCCAGCCGAGAGGTGCCCTAAGACCCGTGAAAAGGGGTAAGTGATAGCTGCTCGGACCCCAGCAGGAAGCCGCTGCATCGCACCTGCCTCTGGGCCAAAAGAGAGGCCTTGGGCTTGACCAAGTGAGTTCAGGGTAAGCACACGTCTACCATCCGGCTCATACCATGGAGCAACAGGGCGCAGAAGCTCCCTCGACATGCCGTCCCTGACAATCCACCAGGTAGGATCCCCAATCGGGCACGAGACAACATCCAGGACAGTAGGTTGCGTGTCAAACGCAACATGCAGACCACAGGAGTCCGGACGGTGTCCTGCTTCCCAGAGCAAACTATTAAACCCGGACAGCGGCCCGCCCTTGGGGTAATCAAAAATGGCAGGCCCTTGAAAGGGTGTCCAAATGTGGAAGCGAATCGTGTCAGTCGGTGCGTTAGCCTGGCAATATCCCCAAAGGGAGGCAGGCATGACACCCAAGTGTGTGGTTTGGCAGGATAGCTCATAGCACCATGCCACGGCCACTGGCGGGGAACTGTCATATCGAGGGAATACCTGCGGTTCCGGGCATTCATCGTCAGTATCTGAGGCCGCACCCAACACCGGCACCGGGCCCTGAAGAAGAAAAGAGAGGAGGAACCACCATCCTAGGTATGATCGAGTCGTCAGGCTGCGTCCGACGGCAGGACTGACCACACTGGCAAATGCTGCAACTGACGGCTGGTTCAGAACCCCATTGATGCGTGCCTGGAGGCCACGCGTGGCATCGCAGGCGAAGGCGTCATGGCCTTCTTGGAAAAGGTGCCCACACTCACCAGCCAGAGAGGACACCTCACCGGGCCATTTCCAAACAGCCAACTGCCCGTGGATCTCAACACCTGGCAGGTCCCACGTGGTGAGCCCTCCAATGGACATAACCTCGGGCCATTCCACCGACAGCGTGCAAGCAGCTCTCACCCATTCTCCGATTCGGATGGCCCAAGGAAAATGGCCTTCGCTGCAAGGAACTCTGCAACTAACCCCAAAGTGAGGGCATTCAAGCAGTCGCATGGGACCTGACGAGAAATGTCCCGGTACTGCAACGCAGCCCTTAGCTGGACGACGTTTAACCAGTGCTTTCGTTGGTGCCGGTCGTGCATGAGCTGGCCAGTGCAGAGGGAAAGTTTGAACTCCCTGTTCAACCCGGGAACTCGGAAGAACTGGCTCCTGGAAAGCTTCCGGCTGTAGTGCAGCAAGGGCTAGCTTCCTAGGGGCTTGCTGTTGGGAGAGGCGCCATCCTGCATCAGACAAGCGACAGAAGTCCAATCCAAGCTGAAAGAAAACGAAGGGAAAACCTGAGCTGACTTGTGCCGCCGAAAGCGCAAAGTGCCGCAAAATGGTTGGCTGTTGGTCTAAGACCGCGTTCCAAAAGGGCGACCCCCGAATGCTTGACAAAGGAAGCTCCTCAGAGACTGGGGCAGACACAGTGAGGACAATCGGGAGGACCCCGCAATCCAAAACATCGGTGAGCAGAACTGTGAGCGTGCTGTGCGTGCGCTCAATAAGACAGAACAAGTCGACCGCAGGCGCAGAAAGAGGCAGTCTAATGAGGCAACTTGTCCCACAACGATGCTCACCGTACCAAGACTGCAGAGCTGACTCAAGACGGTACTTAGTGAATCCTTTAGGGACTTCAACCAGAAGCAGGCCTTGGTCGGCAGACGTGATAAACACCTCAGTGTGCGGAACAAGCCAACTGGTCGCTGAAAACGTGGGCATCGGTACAGACGAAGCCCCAACGTCTGGCAGGTTAATCTTATCATCACTATGCGCCACGACAACATCTCCATGTCGCAATGGGTGAGGCGCCCCTTCATCAAGACGAAAGCTTCCTCCCGGGAAAAGCAGTATCAGCGCCTGCAGAATGGAGGGCCCAGGGTTGGAGCGGACCACATCCAGACAGATCAAGGGTCCGCCAGCGTCAACAAGCACAGTAACATACTGCAAACTGCGCGCTGGGGAGATGAATCGGACACATCGGTCAAATCCAGAAGGTTGAACCAAGATCGGGAAACCCCGTCCCAACAGGCCCCCTGCTCTGAGTAACACGCTCTTCAGGACGTCTGCTCCTCGGTCACCCGGGAAGAGGAACCAAACAGAATCGCCGGGCGATGCTACCTGAAAGTAGTAGTGTGAGGCAGGGGCAGTTGCTAAATTCTGACTCCGGCTCCACTCAGCAGAAGCCCATTCACGGGACGCGCTCAGTCTCTGGGCGAGGCGGTGGTGCGCGCCAACCCCGGCTTCCGTGTCTAATGGGATCCTAACCTGTGCATCCTCAGACTTGCGATGGAGGGCAATCCCATCGGCGGGCGGATCGGAGTCCGGTATCAGAAAAGTACCCCAGCTGACGCGCAACCCGAGAAGCAACAAGGCAGCCGAACGAACGCCATGCCTCGTAGTAACTGCCAAGAGAACCCCAAAATTAATGGCCGAGCGCCCACTCGCCGAAGAACCGCCGCTGGCCGAGCACGGCGAAGCTCCTGGAAGGGTCCGGCGACGTAAAACCACAAGAGGGGCTGGTGCATTTGCTTCGAGAGGCTTATCAGGATCCACCGAGTGTTCACGGTGGAGCACCATTAAGCTGCCCCGGGCAAGAAGCTCAGCAAGCTTACAATCCGGTACTGGTTCTCCGGATGTAGCCACAGCCATTGCAAGGCGTGTTGCAGGGCTCACCCCGGGTTGGTAAGGAAGCACGGCAAGCCCCGCACCAAGTGGTCGGAAATCGATAAGGCCCGGGAGACAACCCTCAGGACATTGTAAGGCAACAAATTGCACCGCAGGCAACTGCTCCAAAGGAGGGAGGACCCGAGCGAAATGGCTAAAAGTAGCACCCCCGCACGTGACATCCGACATGAAAGCTCCCATCACAGTTGAACGAATGGAAAGATGGTCCGCAAACATCGGGGCGAATGTAAAAAACAGCCCGTTGGCATATAGAACCACCGCATTGACCCCAGTTTCGGAATGAAATGCAAGCTCCGCGGGTCCTGGCAGCGAAAGGCTCGTGGAAAACACGTCCTCTAGAGACAATCTAGGGGACAGAGAGCCATGACGAGAGGGTGGGACAGATGGAGGAAGACGCACCGTAGGCCACACTTGCAATGCGTCTCCTTGCGGGAGCAAAAGCACATACGCCTGGGGAACAAACCAAGCATTTCCCAGCCGACATAGGCAGTTGTTCACATCAACGTGTATGCCTTGCTGCACAGCCGCGTCCCGGATTATCGCTGCGCCTGGCTGGTGTCGGAAGGTGTCTAAGAGCGAGACAGAGCCGCCGACAGCACGAAGGTCAACAGGAACACGGATCCGGAACCACGGGAGGGTGAGCTCGGTAAGAACGTACTGCTCCGGTGGGAGTGAAGGCAGTGTTTCCACCTGGCGGCGCCAACTCCATTCCGCTGTCTGCAGACCTAGTGCAGAGCATACCTGTCGGAACAGAAGGGCCCCGTGGGTACGGTCATCAACATGAAGGACCTGAGGGCAGTGCGCCAAAGACGGGGCAAAGACCCCGATGTCACGCATTGGTGCTGGAACCTGCTGCAGGACCGGTTCGACACAAGGACCACCCGGAAAACGCACTGGAGCAAGGGCTGACGCGTCCACAACAGCGGGAACCGACCCTGTTGAAAAGACTGGCTGGCCCCGCGCAGCACTGACCGGCCAAATCTGAACCGATTGAGTCGGGGTGCAGCAAAGCCATAAGAGTAAGTAGACCCGTAGCTGGCGCGAGCTCGGGCAAATCTTAAATGGCGACCTGCTGCCGTAAAGAATCCATCTTGCTGCAACACTGACGGCCGTACCAACCCATGGCGTGGACAACCAAGTACCCAACAAACCGGATCCAAGGCGCCAGACGGGACCCCATCGGAGGGCCAGAACACTCCGGAAAAGGCCGTGAAGCTCCTGCCAAGCGCAAGCAGAAGAGCAAAGAGTGCTGTGAGGAGCAGGCATGCCGACTTTGTCGGAGTTGTCAGGCCGACCCGTCCATTGCCGTCCGCCGAGAAATCCCTCCAGGAGCAACAAGGCCAAACTCCATGGAAGAAGGCAGAAAAGGGCGAACCCTATTACCCAAAAGGGACGAGGCCAATCAAAGGTACCATGGGGCCTATTCTTTAGGGCTCGACTTGCCGGGCAGTTGTGCCACTCAAGAATGGGCAGGGTTGTTGCAACAGTGCACGCACTTGGGGATCCTCTGCAGGTTCCACAGCAATATACCCTTTGAAGGGACCTCCGCGTTCGGTCAGCAGGGTAGGGTGCAGCCACTCCTGCAGAGTAGCGGGTGCGTAACTGTAAGGGTCGAGGAGCCCTCCTACAGTTACATGCGCTGCGACGAGAAGGCCTTGGGGCAGGTGGCTGACAACACCTGCACACGAACGGACAAGAGGCAGCAGATCTCGCAGTTGTTGGTATAGACCAGGAAGTGCACCTAAATCCCTGCTTTGCAACACCTGTTGGAGGCATTGCCACACCGCTCCACAGTGTGTCAAGACCTCGCTTTCTTTCTCGGCGTTGTGGACAGGACAGACTATCGCATCTTGTTCGGGGCAAGAAGCAAGTTCGCCCACACGTTCTCCTCCCTGGGAAACTGCAAACTGCAAAAGAGCAGTCCATGCCTGCTCCCAAGTGCGTGGGGGCTCGCGCTCCGCCGGGATCAGCTCCGCTTCGTCTTCCACGGCGGCCAGAAGCGAAGACCTGGGCGCTTTGTCCGGTGTGCGACCTGTCTTCAAGGATGGCCACGGCGTGCCCGTGTCGACCTCCCGACGTGGGCTTTTGGACGGCCTCTCCGTGTGGCCACCACTTCGCTTCCTCCATCTGCCACCTGTAGAAACAGGTAACGCTGTCGCATCTACACCAGCTGGAATCAGAGGCGGCGGCATTGCCGCCGGGGCCCGAACATCCATAGTAGATACGCCAGGTAACTCCGTGGCGAGGATCGGTATGGCTGGATCGCCTGAGCCGTCGAGGCCCAGGAGATCTTCGTCCGTGGCACCAAAGCTTGCCACAGAGCCCACATCCAGATGAGCTCCAAGCCGCACTCCTCCAGTGTCGCCCCAGTGTTGAGGAGAAACCAAGGTGAGTGTAGCATCCGTCGTGCTTGTGCGACCGGAAGGAACACCATCCTCCACAAGCGGCGCTCCTGGTGGCAGCCCTCCAGCGGAGGTTGGCCACGACGTTGCCCATTGGTTGCATTGTAACTGTGCCAAAGGCGCGAAGGCGGGCAGCAAGTTGCAGTACCTCCTGTTCCTGAGGCTCTGACCAGATTGGTCCCACCGCAGCTAGAGCCTTGTTCACCTGAGCCGCTGTGGTCTCCGAGGGCTGCTCGGAAAGGATCTCTCGCATTTCCCTGGCAGCCACGGCCGTGTCGTCGTCCAACCGTTGTCCGATTGCACGGACTTGCGCCAGAAGGCCAAGCATATGCTGGCTGACAAAGCCGAACCAAGCTTGTAAAGCGACGGCCATGTCGACCTTCGCACGCTCGTTGCCGGACAGGCGTTTGGCAAGTTTGTTGGTAAGGTTGGTCCTCCGCTGGAGGTTCTGCTCCGCCGTCCCTGCCAGAAAAGGCACCGGTGCCGCCGTCCATAAGTCTTGCGTGGCCCGTGTAGACAGTGATTGAACCGCCTGCACCACACTCGAGGGTAAGGCAAACTCTATGCGGTTCTGCTGAGGTTGTGGTTGCTCGCCACGACCTTTCTGTTTTCCACCCTGAGGTCTCGATGCCTGCGCATTGGCCGTTGCCTTGGGGGCCATGCTCCCGTGATGGGCCTGCAGAAGCTGGCGCGCTGCCAGCGAAGCCCTGCCTGCCCTCAAAAGTTTCCTCGCTTTCGACCGGGCTCGACGGAGCCGACGGTGCCACGGCGGGCTTGGCGCCCTGCGGAATGGCCTCGTCACCACCGCCGCTGCCGATAAGGATCAGAAAAACCCCTGTTGCAGCAAGGGGAATAAGCGGCCAGTAGGTCCGGCCGTGGAACATGCGACCTCCAGGTCGCAACCACTAAGGCGTCGGCCGAAGCAGCGAAACCAAAGTGGTAAGAATCACTGAAGAGCCTACCAGAGGCAAAGCAGCGGCGCTATGAAGCTGGGGTCGGCTATACACAGAGTTTCGCTGCAACTCACAATTGGAGACGCAGGGCACTACCTGTGCTCGGGCCAGACGCCTTAAACCCAAAACCCTTAATCCTTAATCCTTAGCCCTAAACCCTAAATCCTAAACCCTTAACCCTAGACCCTAAACCCTAAACCCTTAACCCTAAACCCTAAACCCTAAAGCCCAAACCCTTAACCCTAAACCCTTAACCCTAAACCCTAAAACCTAAACCGTAAACCCTTAACTCTTAACCGTTAACACTAAACCCTTAACCCTGAACCCTTAATCCTCAACCGAAAGTTTGAATTCTGAAACCCAGAGCTCGCAACCTCAAGAATCTAAGATTCCGGAAGGCACCAGCGGCCAGTAGGAAACCCTGTTAAATGAAATGTGGACAGATGACTTGAACCCTGAACCTCAAATCCTCAGTCTCGAAACTCCTTAATTCTGAACCCCGAACCTCAGACCCTGGACCCCAAAGCCCAAATCGAACAACTTCAAACTCCCAGCCCAGAACCCAGGAACTCACGAACCTTGTGTCAAAATCTCTCCATGCACAATTTCCGAATCCCGATTCTCCTTTGAAGTTTCATATTACAGGCCTCCACCTCAACGTCCTAAGACATCAACCTAAGATTTCAGATCTCAATGTCCAAGCCGAAAGTCTGAATTCTGAAACCCCCAGTTCGCAGCCTGAGAACTAGAAACATTTGACCCCATCACTAAAATCCCCGCTTCAGGATATTAGGTTTGAAACCCCAATTTCTAATCCTAAGCTCTAAATTCCAAATCTCCCTCTCAACATCCGAAAACCAGAAGCCCTGGATCTTTTACACCACACCCAGTTTCCTAATTCTGATTTCCGAATCTAAGATTCCAAAAGGCATCAAAGGCCAGTAGGAAACCCTGTTAAATGAAAGGTGGAAAGATGACTTGAACCCTGAACCTCAAATTCCCAGTCTCGAAACCCTTTAAGCCGAAACCCTAAACCTCAGACCCTAAACCCCGAAGCCCAAATCCAACAACTTCAAACCCCCAGCCCGAAACCCGGAAACTCCTGAACCTTGTGTCAAAACCTTTCCATGCACAATTTCTGAAACTTGTATCAAGACCTCTCCATGCACAATTTCTGAATCCTGATTCTCCTTTGAAGTTTCATATTACAGACCTCGACCTCAACACCCTAACACACCAACCTATGATTTCAGATCCCAATGTTCAAGCCGAAAGTCGGAATTCTGAAATCCCCAGTTCGCAACCTGAGAACTAGAAACCTTTGATTTCATCTCCAAAATGTCTCACTTCAAGATATTAGGTTTGAAACTCCAACTTCTAATCCTAAGCCCCAAGATCCAAACCTTCTTCTCGATATCCGAAAACCAGAAGCCCTGGATCGTTTACATCACACCCAGTTTTCCAATTCTGATTTCCGAATATAAGATTCCAAAAGGCACCAAAGGCCAGTAGGAAACCCTGTTAAATGAAAAGTGGAAAGATGACTTGAACCCTGAACCTCAAATTCCCAGTTTCGAAACCCCTTAATCCGAAACTCCGAACCCCAGACTCTAAACCCCGAAGCCCAAATCCAACAACTTCAAATCCCCAGCCCGAAACCCAGAAACTCCTGAACCTTGTGTCAAAACCTTTCTATGCACAATTTCTGAATCCTGTATCAATATTTCTCCATGCACATTTTCTGAATCCTGATTCTCCTTTGAAGTTTCATATTACAGACCTCGACCTCAACATCCTAAAACATCAACGTATGATCTCAGATCCCAATGTTCAAGCCGAAAATCCGAATTCCGAAACCTCGAATTCACAACCTTCAAGTTCAAACCCCTGCAGTTGTCGATGTTTTCATTGCGCTGTTGCGCAGTCATTGGCCCCGCCGAATTGGGCGGAGGCATGTTTTACTCCGCAAGGGCCTATTATAGCGCAAATTGCGGAGACAAATTGGGCATCCATGACATGGTCGGAATGCCAACTGGTAGTTGGTTTCCCGCATTGAACCGTATGGCGGTTCGTCCCCGAAAAATTCAGGGGGAAGGATTTCAGGTTTTTCCGGCGCTTCCATGTCTGAAAGGCGCAGGCTCACGCAGCTTTGCTGCAGCACATGGCTGTTTCTCCGCCAATCAATCGGCCCGGCCCTTTCAGGCTCAATCAGTGGTGCCTGGTATGCAGGTGAAGGTGCCATGGTAAGGCTTCCCACTGTATCCGGAAGTGGATACGCCTTTTTGTTAATCACCTTAGATATATGCTTGCATTCCTGGAATTGGGTTTAAGATGCACATGTTTATTCCTCCATGCCGCCAAGATGCCATGTACCCCTTCGACTTCTTTGAAGGCACCGTAGCATTTAATGTATCCCAATCCTGAGTTTAAGGGCAGAGTTTGGTATAAGATTTCGGGTTTTACGGTTTTTAGTGTTAGGGACGAGGGAAGCTAAGTTCTGGCCAAGTGGCGGTCACCCCTTGGACACCGCCGTTGCCCTGAGTTGTTTTTTGCTGGTGAAAAAACACTAGCTATTGACTGTAAAAGCAGTTAGTTAAGCCAAGTTGCGTTGGGAGTGTAGGTAATGAGGGGAGGCTGGAGCGCCTTAGTTATAGCATAGTTGAGATTGGGGTTTGATGCATGGTTACATGTTAAGCCAAGCTGCTCCGGCCGCCCTCTTATTGGATGAACCATCGCTCAGGCGCAGAAACATGTCCTTGGTAACAGCATTTAGGGTTAAGTTCAAGGGTTAAGGGTCAAGGGTTCAGGCCAAGGTGCATCCTTCAGCTCGTTGATCGGCTGTGGAGCACGGTCCTTGGTGATTGGTGATGGTATGCTTGAGCGAAGGGTGATATGAAGCTTCCATGAAGTTTTCCCACATGCCGTCCAAGCTGCAGTCATCGCTCTGACGATGGAATATGAAGATGGAATGGATGCAATTGCAAAGGATGCTTGAGTCAGAAATCGCTAAGGTAAGGGCACCTGCAGCTGCAATCCCCTTTGACGACAGGCATGAGGCAACACCCCCAGCAAAAGGCATGGTAGATGAACTTGCAGCTGCGCCCCGATTGGAGAACAGCCACGAGACAACACCAGCGATTTGCGTCATCAATCTCAACTGCAGCCCGTTTGGGCAACACCCACGAGACAACACTTTAGCAAAAGGCATGGTAGATGGACTTGCAGCTGCGCCCCGATTGGAGAACAGCCACGAGACAACACCAGCGATTTGCGTACCCGATCTCAACAGCTTCTTTGTTTCAGGGCAAAGGGCATGGTTGATGAACTTGCAGCTGCGCCCCGAATGGAGAACAGCCACGAGACAACACCAGCGATTTGCGTACCCGATCTCAACAGCTTCTGTGTTTCAGGGCAAAGGGCATGGTGGATGAACTTGCAGCTGCGCCCCGATTGGAGAACAGCCACGAGACAACACCAGCGATTTGCCCATTCCTTCTCGGCAGCTTCCCTGCCTCAGGGCCCTCCGGAAGGGTAGATGACCAATAGTTGCCCTGCAATACAGTGTACTCAGAAATTTTTTCGGGATCTCGTAGCCGAAATCTGTACGGTAAAGAATTTGTAAATATAATTGTGGATGCAATAAAAAATACAAGGCTACGTGCTCGAACGAGTCCGAAAGTGAACTTTAGTGAAAAACCCAATCTTGTTGGCCTCGACTATATTGAATTAAATTTTCTTGGCCCAGATTTTATTGAATTAAATTGCTCCCCAGCCGTGTTTTCGTGTACCTTTCGGTGATTTCCTCTCATTTCGGGCTTTGGCAGGCCCCTTCCGGGAGCCCCGGGCTTTAATCGGGCCTTTAATGGCCCCTCCCGGGAACTTGGGATTCTATGTTTACGGGATTTGGGCTGAACTACTACTACCACTACTACTACTACTACTACTACTACTACTACTACTACTACTACTACTACTACTACTACTACTACTACTACTACTACTACTACAACTACTACTACTACTACTACTACTACTACTACTACTACTACTACTACTACTACTACTACTACTACTACTACTACTACTACTACTACTACTACTACTACTACTACTACTACTACTACTACTACTACTACTACTACTACTACTACTACGACTGCTACTACGATCACTACTACTACGACTACTACTACTGCGACAACTACTACGACGACGACGACGACGACTACTACTACTACTACTGCTGCTGCTAATACTACTACTACTACTATTACTACTACTGCGACTACTACTACTGCAACAACTACTACGACGACGACGACTACTACTACTACTACTACTACTGCTACAACTGCAACAACTACTAAAACTACGACGACGACTACTACTACTACTACTACTAGTACGACCACTACTACTGCTACTACTACAACGACTACTACTACTGCGACAACTACCACAACCAACACTACTAAAACTACTACTACTACTACTACTACTACTATTACTACTACTACTACTACTACTACTAGTACTACTACTATTACTATTACTACTACTACTACTACTACTACTACTG